GGACATAACTTATGAAAGGTAACTATATAAAAGTATAGATAAAAGGAAGAGGGGCAGGAAGCTGCAAATATGATATAGGCCTATCTAGTAAGTATAAGGTATATAAAATCTTCAAAAAATAAGGTATAGGCCATGCCTATAATTGTGTACAGAGCATATGCTCGTACAATCATATAAGCTAAAACGATAATAAATATAATATATATAAATAAATAAATATTATATACTATTTATATATATTATATTATTTTCGTTTTAGCTTATATGATTGTACGCGCATATGCTTTTTTTCAATAAAGTGTTTCTAAAGTCTATACATGGTATTCGTTTCCTATATTCTTTTGTTATTATATATATATATATTTCCTTTTTATGATTTAAAAATTCTTTTCCTACATATTTTGAATTTACTGAAGATTCATTGTTTTCTTTTGTTTGTTTTGAAGTTCCCATTGGTGTGTTAACTGAAGTATATATAGGCCTATATTGTTATACATATACTTCAGTTAACATTGGTGTGTTAACTGAAATATATGTATAATGATATGTATATATGTTTAATGTTTCTTGATTATCTCTTTTTTCCGCGTTAGTTTTTGGTATGGTGTATGTAACTAAATTCAAAGAACTGTATTGTCTTTCTAGGATGCATTACCTACGGTATTGGTTTGTACCGCTGTTTCAAAAGCGTATATCTTAATAGATAATAAAATAAGATAAATTTAGTGACGTTTTTGAAAACTTTGAAATGAACACACCATTATGTGAATCGGTGCTACTTATTTATTTATTATTTATTCGATAATTTTCTCTCCTTTGTATAAGTGGCACCGTTCTTAAAGGAAGGTGCAAGAAAAATAATAAGAACTTATTACTTACACTATACCGTACTATTAGACATGGATTTATATTGTACAGTAAAATCGAAAAACAAGTAAACAATAGACATTAACAATAACATATACTTTTTCATAAGCTTACAAAGACCCATTAAAATCACCACGGGGTTTTCCCTTTTTTAACCATGGGACGACAAACCCCTTCTGTTCTACTGTCTGAACATGGACCTATTAATTAGACTTATTAATAGGTTCATGGTCTGAATAGTCCTCTATACCGGATTGATAGCATGGTTCTGTCGGCTCTTTCATCTCGAATTAATCGTGTAATTACTTAATTAGGTGCAATCATGGGCATATCAACTGATAAGCCCACTAATCATGTTGCGGGGTGGTAATGGTCCTTCTATCATGGAGGAATTATGGTCCTACCAGCAGTTCCTTTATCTTATGATCGTATTATACTTAATTAACCAATTAAGGGCTATCATGACCCTATCAACTGATAAATCCGTGTTGCAGTCATGAGCCTCAAACGAGATCGTTTGCGAAATCTCTATTTGCATCAGGTTTGCTCGTATAACCATGGGGTGCTTTGCTAACGCCACAAACATCCCTGTGGGGAGCTAAACACTGTAGACAAAAATTGCACAGTGTAAATTGGTAGGCTATCTTAAAAATGTTTTTTGTCAAATTTTTAAAGAGGAAGCTAGTCTCCCTACCCCAAATTAAATAAAACAATGTTAGATAAATGATCGAGATATGTTCAGTGTTCCTATTAGAATTATAGGCATATTCCTAAAATATCTCAAGCAGATTAACATAAACTAAATAAATTTTTTTTTGAATTAAATTATTATCATTATATAATTTTGATGAAATTTGCTAATTCAATATAAAAATTTGTATTTGAATTGTATTTAAATGGCATGAGTGTAATAAACATATTATTGAGAAATGTGATGTGACAATTTTTTGTCTTTATATATATATATATATATATATATATCTGTATATACATTTTTTTACTTTATATT